ATTCAGCATCAATTCCATTTCTTTTTTATCCAAATTTTCCATAATGCCCAACAAAAATAGCTGAGGCTTAAACTTTATCTTTTTCTTAAAAACATTTTGAATATTCCACCAAATCTTTATCCAAAATGCTTTGACCACCCTACATGTCCACCACACATGAAAATAAGTTGCATCTAAATTTCCACATCTCCAACACTTAAGTTGTAAATTAGAATACATACGAGACAATTTTTGAGGATCCAAATGCCACCTATAAAACATTTTATAAAAGTTTTCTCTTAAATTCTGTGCTTGAGTAAATTTTACATTCCTAATCCAAATTGTCTCCCATGTCTCCAATAAGATCGGCTCTTCTATATTTTGAGCCCATTTTATCATACAGTCCTTCACCAATTCTGTTTCCGAATCCAATTCAACCAATACGCCATAAATTCTTTTTATATGAGCTTGAGATTGATCTCCAATCTGTTTAATCAAATTCACATCCTGTACTGTAATACCAACTTTTTGGTCCAAACACCACCGCATAGACAGTTGGCTATAATAAAACCATGAGTATTCAATATTCTCTTGTTTCAAATCTCCCAAAGATTTAAGTTGCCAATCTTGTCCTACCGGCAAAAGTAATTCTTTATATGAGACTTTATCCAATTTAACTCCCCTAGATATCCCCTCTATCATCTGTCCTGGACTTGTCCAAATCGGAATCTTATAATTTAATCTACAATAATATTTCTTCCAAACTCGAAGTAAGGCGCTTCTCAAAATATGAGCCTTAAAAATTCTATCTACTTTTTTATCATAAATTAAATATGCCTGCCAACCAAATAACAAGTCCCATCCTTCAAGGGAAAGTATATTTCTATTTGTCAAATTTAACCAGTCACTAATCCATGTCAAAACCACCGCATCATAATATAATTTTAAATTAGGAACTTTAAGTCCTCCTCATTCTCTTATATCCTGCATAATCTTGAACCTGACTCTTGGCTTCTTGCCCGCCCAAATAAATTTGTTTATACCCTTTTGCCAGTCCTCCAAGTTAGCATCTTTTTTTAAAATAGGAATCATTTGAAACAAGA